TAAAACACCACAGTGTTGGTGTTTTTAACTCGGGTCTGTAAATGAGGTTAGTTGATGGCAACAATCTTCATTCTCCTATTTTCTGAGTATCATTGGCTCGTTTTAACAGGATTTTNTTATCACCAAAAGTGTTCTCTTCTGCTAATTTCTCATTCAATTCACTCAACAGTTTAATTCAAATTCTCATTCTATTAAGTGCACTCTATAATTGATCGCTTGACTGTGGAGTGTTGTTCAGCAATAATATTCGATTGTTGCATTGTTGACTTCGGTTGTCAACACTCGTCAACGTATTCAGTAAATAGTGTATGCTACAGAATGAGAAATTGATTCGAACTGTGAAGTGAAATGAGACGAAATGAATGAGAAAAACTCATCAAGAGAACGGTATTCGCATGCAATAGCTATGAGAGTGAATACAACACGTCTGAAAAGAATGAGAATCCATCTGAAACAGTTTGAAGTGAGCGTGTCACACACAGACAATAGCTTTTTCATGCAATCATAGTCGACTGCAACGGTCTAAGAGAAGGCCCAGCGATGTCGATTACCATCATGAACGTGCTAATAAGATTACAAATAACAGTCATCTGAGCATAACATATGCGATTTCCATATTCAATAGAAGACGGGGGTAACGGCGGCCTGTCAGATCATCAAGAGGGATAATGGAACACCCGAACGTGAGGAACACTGACGTAGTCGATCCCTTGAGCATTGCAACAGTCCATATTTCTTTCTCATTTTTCCCGAAAATCGATTCTGTGTTGTGTTCTTCTGAGTTGCACTAATGAATTAAATTTTCGAATTCATGCTCACTCCAGAATGTGGTAACTTAAAAAAAAGAGTCTGCAATTTTGTAATGCATTATGAGGGAACTATCGAAAATTTCTGCTTGCTGCCATAACCAAAAGTTACTCCAATCGATGATATTATTGTTCCTCTGAATGGGGAGAGACGTCAAGGGCGAATGAGTCATGTACTTGCTTTGTTTCATATTCATTCGTAGGAAAGTAGGTACCATTTGCTGCACCATACCCAGTGAAACGAAGTCATTTTCTACACTTCAGAATGTTACCTACCACACCTTTTAACAAGGGATAAACAAGCGGTCATGTGATAGGGCAGATGAAGGCTCACACAAATCACCTAAATCTCACTATTAGTGGCTGTTGATCTTCTAAGTGATAAGTTCGAGATGATAATGTGTATATATTGATGCATCATCCTTTTCATGTGCCATTCATGTTGTTTTTTGCCCAGCATCGACTGTCATCATAATTTGTTGTACTTTCTTGAATTATTTTAAGCTTTCGACACCTCTTTCGTCCTCGGATGGACCCTTCCTTGAAAATTCACACGATTCATATCATCCACAGCAAATATGGCACGGCGTACCATACTCGAATGATTTTTTACCTCGAAACATACTGCTTCCTTATAGATATTGAGCATTGATCTTCTTCGCTTGTTCCTGATGAATATTTTGATTTACAGTGGAAAAACTCTATAATTTTCGAATAAACCAACAGCTTTGTGGGGAGACGACGATTTTTTGGATTGCAACAATGAATTACTCTTCAGAAAACTCTTTTTAAGAGCTTGATTGAAGATTGATTTTCCCGGAAAAAGACCATCAACACTGTTCTTCACTGAACTCGAACGAAGATCACTACAAATATTTGTAAATATTAGTGTATATTTCAATTGTTTATCTCTTATTCATGTGTCTAATTTTCTATTTAATTTATGTGTCCAATTACATTGTAAGTATAGAGGAAAATTCTATTGTTTTTGTGCTGTCGCCGAAATTCATTTGTGTGAGATACACAACAAAGAATTGAAAACATTTTATAGCATCGTTGTTGTTCACAAATTTTGGTTAATCAGAATAAAATTTTATAATATTGCGATGAGCAAAATACACTGAACAATTGAACAATGATTCAGAATTTTAGCAGTAACGAGAGTTAGAATAGAAGGATCACGATGATGGCGATGACGGCAACTGCACGAAAGCCTTTTTCACTGCTTTGCTGCATCACACTAACAATTATGTTAAAACTGATTATTTTCTCAAACTATCATCAGCACCATCGACTTTCAACAACAACAACTGAATAGTGTGCATTTACCATGAAGACAATTCCATCAAAATGCATTCAAATAATCAAAAAAGCGATTGTCGAATTCACGAAAAACAAATAGGAAATCGAACAAAAGAAAACGCAAATGCAGCAATCGAAAAAGAAAATTGATTGGAAAAGATTAGTAAAATTCAATTTTTGAAAGATGATTAAACAAAGGCACACACACATAACGTGAACAAATAAATAAAACTAAAATCGTTGAAGAATTCAGAAAAATATGTTTAGAGAGAAAATACAAATTTCTGCAGTCGAGAAATGTACAATTACGGAAATTGCCATCATCTTTGGGAACCGATGGAAAGAGTGAAAATTCTTCAGATACTTCCAAAAGCGTTCGCGAATTTTGGCAAAACACTGCATTCATATGAATTGATATTTTCCCATAATAATTTCAAAACGAATAAAAGAAAATAAAATCACTTGAATATATCGATTGACTATATGATACTTTGAGATTTAAACAGATAACAATGAAAAAAAAAACAATAAGTCAGTTATGGCAGATAGAACAACAGTGCAAAAGAGGAAGCATGAACAGATAATTTCATTGTCCTAAATATACTAATCTTGATGAATTCATTATGCTTATCGATATCAACATGGATATAACTTATTCATAACATAAAATTCGTAGTCACAGACAAATTGCGTACGGCAAACAATAAGATCTTGATGCAATAATACCGACCAGGTGCGTTATGCTTTCAACAAAAAGGGACTCATTTCGAGATCATTCTTTGATTCCAAAATACAGAAAACAACAATCGAATACTCGATTACGGAAGAAATTCAGAACGCTGACAAATAAAAGAATTTGTGATGAAATAATTTCAATATTTACCTATAAATTCACACTGAATGGAACTGATCGAGATTCTCACATAACACAACGCATTCTCTGTGATCTTCGTATGATTTCTTCTGAGCACTTATCGAGTGTAGCTAATCCCAAACAATAAAAATCGGGTGCGAGTTTGCGGGATTTTTTAGAATTCAAATGAAAATTGGCCGAACAAATGCTTTGTGACTGAATAAAGAACACTTTTATACAAGAAGTCGAATCGAGAGAATAATTGCAGTTTGCATCAAAAAGTCATCGAAGAGAAACATCAATGAATCATCGCAATACAATATCAACGTCTACCTGCGGTAAAGATGATAAGCGATACACATAATTACTGATAAGTTCGGATCACTTTCGTTGATAGCAATAGTTTACGATTACTTCCTCTTATCTGAAACAGAAGCAAAGGTCAAACCGCCGTCCAATTAGCGAACTCTTCAAATTATATGCAGATAAAATACTCGAATGATATTGAGCAATTTACAGAAAAATGATCAACAATTTGATACATCTGAAGTTAGTTTTCATCTCATTTTAGAATAATCTCAACTGGAATAATTTATGCAATAATTTCTTATATTACAGAAAATCCATAAAACAAATAACAATGGCCATCAAAATCGTTTGGAACAAATAAACTAATCCAAATGAATAAATCTTAAAAAATTAATTATGCGACCGGAAAAATAACATTTTAAGAAGTGCCAGAACATGCAATTTTAAGTTAATAACATTTCAAAACATTCGCATCACGGTATGAATAGAGAAATGATTTGGTAAACCATCAATGAAAAGAAAATTTTCAATGAATTACGAAGACAACTCAGTGAATAGCAAATTATATATATGCCAGTTATTATTTTCAACAAAAGACATTGAAACATTCAGAAAGATTTATTTTGCTAAGAAGAAACTATTCAGCAGCACTGAGCAAAGAGCCGTAAACTTTTTAAGTTCGACCAAAAATTATACCATTTCGAATGGAAAATGATCATTTTGCAGTCAAAAAAGAATTCCAAAAATCCGGATCAAATTCATCTAACTGTAAGGCAACTTTAAAAAATTCGTTTTGAACATTTTTGAACAATTGAACATTTTTCCGCCTAACCATCACTACAAGCATGGAATATAGTACCAATAACAGCGAGTGCAAAACTGATAGCATCATAAAGCTTATCTATCAGGTGTTATTTGCCCAAAATTGGTTTAATGAAGATGTTTCTGTGGCAGCACGATATGCACTAGCGATGCTTAAAAATAATGAAGCGATTTAGCGACACCAGAACTATTCTTCATAAAATTTTACACTTGATAGTAATCGCAACCAAAGTTGCAACGAGTAGCACTCAATTACAAAACTATTCTAAAGTATATGCATCATGCGGGAATGTGCAAAACTCCTACACGAAATATCGTTTTAATGATGAATTTTCTATGGTTATTCTTGTGATACAGAAATGTTACTGGGATGTGAATGTGAGTGCACGAGAATGTTAAATGCAGATGAGAGTGATGATCCATAAATGCGTGCAGATGAAATCGTTGATTTTGCATTTGCAGAATTTTGCAAAAAAATCATCAATGTTTTTACATGTTGCATACAAAAAATATGCTTTTTCACTGATCAGCTACAATTTAACTATTTTCGAATGAAACGAAAACCTAGAGGATGTATAAAGAAGTTGCTCGAACTAAATTGCACATGCATTACGATATGAACTTATGGAGACACATCCAAGACAGCACTAGATAATAAATGCATGCATGTTACACCCAACAACTGCAGATAACGACGATTGCTCGGTGATGCTTGACTTGCGGTGTGTGTGCTTTGTTGTAGTAACTGAAGAAGGACGTATTCGAAGAAAGCCTTGATGAATCACGATCACAATTGGACACAGTGCTGGTGGTGGTGGAGTGAAGAGACATTTATCTAAACTTCACTGAAACTAGAACCGTTCGATTAGAGGGGTTGTGCATTGTTTATTTTTGGTGGTGTTAAATGCTCAGCTGAGATAATGTAATCCAGTAGCAGACTGTTTGATTCGTTCCACATAGTTGGCCGGTAACATTCCCCATTGAAGTGTTCTCTTCACGGTTCCCGTCATCCAACCTTCGTCCACTTTTTGACAGTTCACTATGATATCGCCTTCAACGAATGTCACCTGCAAATGACCACTAACTCATTTTCCATCAATCGGATGACTGAACATTTCGACAAATTTGATCAACTTTTAGACAATATTCAATTCTCTAGCATTAATATTTAAGCAAAAGGCGACCAAACTCAGTCAAAAATGAGCACTAGATGATAAAAAGTTACTGAATATTGTATAAAGTTATTGAAATATTCAAAGAAGTCTAGAGTAACCTCGTCCTTATCGGCAGCTGTATAGTCATAAAGTGCCTTAACGGTGAATCCAGCGCCTCCTGCACCTGGTTTGATCACACCAACTCCAACACCCTGTGCACCGTTCACTACGGCTGCTGCTGCTGGTTGAGCCTGAGCTGGAGCCGCTTTATGTTGTTGTTGTTGTTGTTGCTGTTTTGCACCACTCAAGGCACCTTCAAACAATGCAAACGTCCTATCGTCTTTATCAAAAATTGAAACATTTAAAACCGTTGAAACGGTTGAAAGTAAGTTGATTATATAGAAAATCGCATATCGGCCACTGAATTTCAAACAAACAAAATTTCCACAGAATAAAAATTCCACGGCAATAATTCCATACATAAGCAGGACTACTGTCGACTTTTTTGCCCTAGATGAATGCAACAAAACCAAAATTTTTTAGGCCAACGCATTCCAATAAGTTCGGAACCATCGGAGAAGTGTTTCAAGGAGCCGCAGCACCAACAATTCTTACGTAACAAGGCTATGTGACATCGTAAAGAAACATCAGAAGCACGTCTTGTAATGAAATGAAACAACACAGTGAGTCATCGAAACAGCTTAGGCATAATTATTCTAAACGCATCAATTACAACGTGTTAAATACAGACAACTACTTCAGATACTCTAATTTGCGAGCACACGAAAGAAATGTTAATAAGATAAGATGATGAAGTACTACTACACAGGCTCCATGAGTTATCACAATCCATAGCTGCTCAATGTATGGAACATAGCAAACGACTGGAAAAAAGACACAGAAATAACAAAAATCAACTTGAAATTTCTTCACTGTTTGAAACAAAACCAACAGATTGGTTTTGTTTGAAACAATGAAGAAATTTTGTTTCAAAGATTTGCAACGAAACACGCGAATAAAATGCTCAGATACAGTTCTTCGGTCTTCTTATGGTTGTTGGATGACTCCTCCGATGGAATCGACAGCAATGCTGATTCTGCATTCACTCTTATGGTGCTTTCTCACGTTTCACTATTGATATCAGATAATGAATGGACTTTCTGAATAATTGTTAGTAGTAGAGAAAAACACTTGCGGTCAAAATCATCAAGAAAAACGCCAAAAGGAGGTGAGATTTCCACTTATTTGTCAGTATATTAGGTCAACTGATGTTAGTACAGAGAGGAATTAATCATGCTAAATGAAAATAGGAAATGGGTGAACTAATAGTGAAATGAGATCATGGTAAAGGGAGATCGGAACAACTGATGAATGCAGAAACATGAATGTAGAAACATTAGCAAATAGATCATTCGATCAAGTGATTTGATCAAGGATTATCACGGATTAATCAATCGATTAGTCAATCAACCAACCGATCAGCCATAAAGCAACGAACAAACAATGGCAACTGCAGTAGCTCGAAGCGTTTTCATTCCGAAAGAAACTGACACTGAGACATTGAGCCAGATGATGGCTGTTTCCGATGAGTTTGTTGCACGGCAAAAACAGCAAAAAAGACGAAAAATCGACTCGAAAGCTTTTAGCTGCAAGAAGGATGCGATAGAATTTACGACAGGATTGATGAAGCGTACCAATCTTCTCGGAAGCTCGACTCGAACCAACCGTCCCCCAGTTACCATTCAAAGGATCGTAATCGGCAATACTTCCGACTGGCCTCTGTTGTATCGGCACTGTAAATCGGTGGCTTTAAGTGGCACACGTAAATGAATGATGACAACTTCAAATGAAATGAAATGAAACGACATGAACAGGAATAATACCATTATTAACTCAACAATATTGACGCAACTAACAATCACCACCACAACAACAACAACTCAATAATTATTCATTCACAACAAAAACCAATCTGTAATCATTGGAATGCACCTCTTTCTTTCACGCTAATTGAAATTACTCAATCTAAATTAACACCTAATTTGAAGTTTCTATGAACGGGTAACCGATTTTCAGTCAAAAATTATGAACGAGATGGAAGTTTTTACGAAAGAGACTTGAAACGAATGCTAACGTTTTCATTAAATTTCATGAAACCTATTGAATCAACTCAAAGATCATGTACGGAAGAACATTCAGCAGTAGATAAGCACACAACAGAATAGACTGTAACTGAGTGTTGTAGTGACTGCAGTTGAAACTGATGATGATAAAGCATTTAGAAGGATGCCATATGATAAATGAAGATATTAGAAGAGTGTGTAAAAGCAAGATGATATCACACGGGAATGGCATGATAATGGCCCGAACAAAACGGTTTCCTCCGAGGAGTGTGCTTGAATCGGTGGTACATAAGGAGAAGATATTCCATTCAAAATCATGCATTAAGAAACGCAAATATACGGCAGAAGTGTTCACGGAAGAGTGAAGCGTCAACTCATCTTTCCTGATCACTGAACATGCATCAATCAAACGCTTGTGATTATGACAATAAAATAAATTCACAAATTATTTCTGTAGATATAAGTACTATCACTAATCAAAAACCAGTCTTCACCTTAACACGATGAGATTTCATTGATATTCAACATATTTCTGATAGAATAGTCGAACTCATACAGTACTGCTGCTGCTGCTGCACGAAAATACTCGATGAATTTTGTCTGAGTTATGAATGATACGGAGGGCTTGCAGAAGTTGCAGAAAGTTCAACGATAACAAGCATTATTGTGACACATTGCGGTGAATGAGTTCGTTCTTGAATGAACACAAATCGGTGAGCCACAACAGAAATATCCACAAAACAATCAATTTCCGGATTCGCTGAATGAGTTTTTTCAGAAATGTCAACAACTGAACGTCTGCGACCTGAAAAAGAATGTGGGAGGGAAATACTTGGTGTGTGCGGTGATAAAATGTTAGCAAGGAAACATTCACTAAGTTAAAAGCGAACAAGATGTAAGTGCGTGCATGATAAACGAATATGAAGCACATAACGATAGTCTTTCATTCAAAAAGTATAGCAGCAGTTAGTCGATGCCGTTGAAGAAATGATCGAAAATCAGTTTAAAAATGAACAGCGCAATTGTGAATATCAGTGTTTGATTCCTGTCATGAGGTTCTTGATCGTTTTAAAAGTAAGTCACATCAAAAAGTATCTAACGATGCAAAAATGAATTAAACGAATTCAACTCAACCAAATTAGTGATGAAGTTTGAAGAATTTCACGGTATAATTTTTCGGAAGAATTTGTTCCCTTCAGTTTCTATATATTCATAACGAAAAAGCTTCGCTACTGAAGCCCGATAACGGCAAAATACCCTACGCAAAGCAAGGAACTGAAATCATGAATCTCGAAATGCTCCAAAAATTCCAAAAACGAAAATATTCCAAAAACCTCACTCAACAAGCGTATTCATCCCCAAAACGTGCCAAAATATCCTCAATGCATTATGCAGATTCTGAATATGTGCCGTTTACTTATATTATAAGAGGTATAAGCACGTAACAATGGCATAACATGCGAGATAAAACAGTTCATTCATTGATCACTGAATCAATCCCGAAGGCATGCAATCTCAATCAATCAGCATAATCCTACCTCGACCACCCTGTTCTGACGAGTAGATTACTGTGCCGGACTGCGATGCCAACCGGCGTGAATACGGTGATCCGACACCTCCTTCAGGCCTGCTCCCAGTGGCCGTGGCTCTGCTAGGCGCATTTTGAGGCTGCGTATAGTTGCCGGACGCCGGCACTGGTGTATGTGATTCAGCCACGAAACCGTATGAGGTCGCTGCAAACAGCGAGCGCAACGCATGCGGAAACCAATTTACTGATTTATTACGGTAGGTATTATGGTATTAATTTTATGGATGATCATTATTTGTGGGAGTTATTGGAATGTATTTGGAGGTTACGGTGGTTCTAGTAGAAAGTTGTAATTGTATGGCATGACAATAACGGTGCTGGAATTATATGAATAGTTTGGCAAAACCAGTAATATGATGCAATGATTACGGGAATTCCGTTGGGAATCAGATTTAGAGCCAGAAACTACGTCCGTTCACGAGACATGTAACTCTGATGATGGAGTCAGTTCCTTTTAGAGATGGTGATTCCATGTTAGTATCGGTGATTTCCTTCAGTGATCAGGCGGCATTCATGAGATCTCAGCGCAAATTTTTTGAGAGGGCAATTTGTAAATTTGCCCTTGGGTTACAAGGCTGTTAGTGAGGATATTAAAGAGAACATCACTAATTGTAAGATAGGATAAAAGTGAATGATATCCTAACGATATCGTTACCATTACAAAACAACTCACATCAAGCTGTAAGCAATGACAACACAAAAGTGTTACAATGGACAACAAGTTAACATATCAATGAATTTTCATCACAATGTGTACATAACACAGACGAATTGGATGCATTCATTCTTTGAAGAACGATTACTTCTTGAAAAATTCACTTCATACACAAACGTACGGCGAACGTGAGCAAATACGAAACAACAGGCCAGAACGCGCAACATTTCTATGCATTTAAATCTATTTCCAGTCAACTGCGGTGGTCAAAATCATCATAAAATACGCTTTGACAATCAGCAGTCGATGTTGGACCGAACTGATGCTTCGAACAGCTTTCGAATGCACCACAAAGAAATTGGACCCTTGAACAGTCCAAAAAGAACTTTTGAGTTTTAGGACGCAGTAGTCGCTGATAACATTAGTGAATTGCTCGAGATAATATTCATCAGAGAACGATGCGAGCCCTCAATATCTCAGATGTTAGTTGGTGAGTGAAGAAGAAGAAAAACGAGACGAGACGAGTTAACCGAGAAGATATGTACGTATCTATTTGACGGTAAATGCTACCAGGCAACAACACGACAAAACATTTTCTTCCAAAAACGTTAAATACTAATCGAGCATTCGTCTTCTACTGATCGGTTCAACTAGTGTACACTGCACTGCATCACTCGCTAATCATCGAAAAACGGGACAATATGAATCCTATTGTCAATTTATTCACAAGATTTGTTTTATTCGAAAATTATTCTCCAACGAAAAAATTACAATGTTTCGAATGAACATTACATGAATCCCAGTTAAAAGTTATGCTATGAGTAAACTAAGTAAACTAACATCACACTCAAAGTGACTTTTGAATACAATCAAGTTTCATGGCAAAATCATATCCCGATCCATACATAACAAATGTGAAAATCAATCAATTATTATACGCTATAGCCACTCTTATTCAACATCAACAACAATGATGCATTCATTAAGAAATATATTGGTGAAAATATGGAAAACACCGGAAAAAATCACCGAGAGAAACGGAATCAATGATGAACTTTGCAGATGAATCTACAAAGTTCGATAAGTTGACTCTTGAGAGATATTTGATTAGCTAATGTCATATTGGAATAATGGATTAATTTAGTTTCCAAACAACCGATTTTTACCCAAGCAGCGTAGGTAAGAATTGTGAGGTAGATTCAGATCGAGAAAGAGTCAGATCACAGACGCATAACTCTTTCAATTCGAAGAAGTTTCAAGAAAAATCATTAAAAATGAAAATACGAAATCACCTGATTACGAGATATACTCCGAGATACAATTATAACATGAGACAATAAGTGAGCAACGAAGAGCCGGCTGAACAAAATAAAACTATTCGCATGAACTATCTTTTAATTACATAGCAAAGTATAATCAACACAACACTTTCGCTTTTCAAGAATGCAAATAAAAAGAACTGAACTCGAAAATCGAGATCCATACATTAAAAAGTGAATTGAGCAATGAAAATCGACTAAACTCTTTGAAATAGCACAAAACGGAAACAAAATTGTAAATATCGCTTAAAATACACGTAGAAATGTTTTCATTCACATAAAAACATATAAATTTTGAAAGGGTTCTATGACTGGTCATTACTCTAGGGTGTCGAGGAAGGACCAGATTCTGTCTTATTACTATCAACGAATTCAACACCACAACTGTTAGCAGTGGCAATCGTGATTGCTGATGAGGTTAGGAAGAATTGTACTGGAATTGGGAATAATAATAACTCACTTTGCCCATCTACTGCGTCTGCAACAGCTCCGGAAACTTGTTCGGCTGCAGGTCGAATCTCATCTTGAAGTTTCTTCTTCTCCAACTCACCATGATACGCGACCTGAATATGATATTGCTCCAGAACAACTCATAATTTAGGGAATATGGAATCGTTTCCAGACTCAAGCTTAGGCTGAGTAAAGATATTCTTACGCTTTGCTGAATTCATCATATTTTTCGATGCCTAAACATACGCAATTGCTCGACATTATTTCGATACTTGGGTTTTGAAATAATCTCGCTTAAGTTATTTGTTTATGTGTTTATAGAAGTAGATGAACTCACCTGTGACTGAACTCTTGTGTTTCGTAAATGACGTGCCAATTCTGGATCATCAGCAATCTCGATTTTTTGTCCTTTCGATTTCTCGAATTGTTCATGATATTTCACCTGAACGTTAAAAAACCATTGTTTCGATGAAATTATCTGTGTCAGGAAGAAAGTCATACAATTTCCATTCGAATCATAGCAATAATAAACCTTTTAACTGCTTCATGAAGCATTATGATCAGTGCATTTTTAGCTTACTACTGCTCTTTCCCATAATAGCCATCCTATGAGCGAGCGCCATTTCTTATTCTTTCCATATACAATCGTTATGGCCCAATTCACATTACCACATAAATTACATTCCGAAATAAGAACCGAGAGTCGTTGAAATATCATTGAATGCACCCCAAATCGCATAAACGATCACGAAATTCGATGTTTTTTTTTTGATTTATTCACTCGATACCTTCCACTTAAGCTGGTTCTGCTATTGAACAGTTAGTAGTTGTGTTATGGGTGGTTTGTTGACAGTTGAGTGACAGTTCATCTAATATTTTCGTTGCGTTCGAATAGAAGTACACATTTTGCGTATATTCAATTGTGCGAGAACGTCTAACTTTACTATTCAGTCATTATCTATCGATGTTGATGAAATATTTTAGGTGAAAGAATCTCGTGGGATGCACTATCAGCTTTAGCCATAACTTGCGATATCCAATAGCTATACCACCACTCCTCTATCCAGCTATTTCTCTACAAATTCAAAGCTACGCAACAATCGTACAACAACGTCACATCGCACTCAACAAATACCTTGCTTGCATATTCGTATCCATCAGAAAGTAAACACACGATGATCTATATCTATCAACCGTGTGATATAAAACTGATTATTGCTGTAACATTACTTCGCTGCTTCGAAAAATCAGTTTTCGTTTAACAATCAATCACTTCAACGAAAAGAAAGAAGAAAAGATTGAGAATATTCATCGATTCTCACAATTCCCTTCGGAAATTTCTCAGTTTCATTTTGGTTTCAATTCCGCACAACTCCAGAAGACTGTGAAGGGCTTGTGTAACAGTAATAAGCAACTACAACAGCAGCGATGTATAAGCTTCACTAAGCAAATTCACAAATCATAATTAGCATAATCAAGACCATAAAAGTTACATGAAATCGCACGGTTTAAAAAAGATTCTCTGAATGAGAAGTTGTATGAATGACGAAGTCTGAAAAGACTGACCTGACTCTGCAACCTGGTATTTTCGGCCAGTCGTCGCATTTCTGGTGTATCCACAACTACAGATGCCACTGTTTTCGGGTAGTGACTGAAAAATCGAATCGCTTCGCTATGTATCAAACTGACATAACCGATTGCTTAGTACAGCTTGAATTAAGAGAAATTATCTGATCTTGAATTATCTGATCGTGAGTCAGATGGATGGATATATGATAAGAAAAACGATCAGTATGAATAGGGGTTTATTCCGATTCACTGTCAAATATTTTTGTGCTCAAAACAATCACGAAATTACAAACATTATTGGAGTAAATGTTGATCTAGCATGCAATATCATTATGTAATAATCAAACACAAATACTATGCAATATTCAAGACTTACGGCTCACAATACGGCATCCGATTGTACCCTTTGTAGTTCTTCATATTCAACGTCATGCCACATACTGTACACTTGAAGCACTGCTTATGCCATACCTATAGTTTACCGTTTTCATAATCCAAATTCCATCATTTGAATCTGCTCATATCATATGCTCGGAAAGGGTGAAAGTTTTCGCAGTCTAAATAAGAGTCCCCAAAATTTTGTCTGCTCGACGAATAATTTTGTAAAAAGCATTCAGTGCACATGCGTGTTAAACAATCACCATCATCATAGCAACTGTCTCGCGTACACAAATATGAATTGTGAATGTGCACATCTGCAGTCTCAATAATCTGATTTATCAGATGCTCTCTTTTTTTCTGCTGGATGCGTTTTTTTTGGATGTTGGATCTACATTCGTTCATATCGAATCAATCAAATCAATTCACATTACAAACACAAACATCTGAGCATCATCGAACCCATATGATAAGAATTTAGTTTAGAAAAGGAAGAAGATAATCCGCACACCGTACTTACGAGATCTATACCAATCTCACATCATTTAGTTTATTTAAAAATTTATTTTGGAGAATTATCGCTTATTGTCAGACTTTTTTCCAAACCATTATTCATCACTGAGCGAGCGCATTGATTGCTGTGATACCAAAAAAAAAAGAATTCACTCGTTCAAAGCATAGAGTCGTAGTTAAGAGAACAATTTTTTCAAAATTTTAGCGATAGAAATTTTTTTGCGGAAAAATTTGCACTTTAATTCCGGGAATTTCACAATTAGTATTTCATGATAATCATCAGCGAGCATCATCTCTCTTGATGCATTCATGATTGAGCTGCTGCACGTTACAAACGCTATACACATACACCTAATACATCAACATTGGCTATCAATCCCAAATGAACTGCTCGTAAAATAAAGATATAATCAAACACGCACGATGAAATCGTACCATCAGATAATCCATTCGTTTTTTTCTGCATCTCTCAATGTCCTAAATTTCTAGTTGCAACTCAATTGTTGCATTTATTTCATCAGCAGTCTCTAGCAACTACCATGCAAAGAGATCATTTATTGTAATCAATGAAGGAAATTCAAAAAAAAAAACACACACACACAAAGAAATCAATTCAAACGTTTGATATTATTCTGATTGCAACTAAGAAATTGTCAGTCACATCATTGAATCAATCGACAGCGATCTACTAAATTCGCAGAAAGAATTCAAAATAAAAAAATAAATGCTCAATGACCATTTTTCCATTCATCTTTCTTCGAATCTTATCGTTCAACTGTAAATACGGTTAGCCGCTGATCTTGCCCATGCCCAGAATGAAGCCTAACTCATTCCATATCAAACGATCTAATTAATCTCGAGATGGCTTCCAGATCAAACATCAATCATTAAGAAGTCTCTGAAGGTCTGTGATGATAAAGCGCAAAAATTATCACCATTTATTACCTAACAAATATGAGTTGTTTTTTTTTTACACAGATATAGATCGCTGACTCACTGCTATTGAGGTAGTTGAATGTGACTGGCAAGCCCGCAGAACAGCGATAAAATCGCGTCCCTTGTTAAATTAACGAGAACCGCATCAAACACTCATATCTACATCAACTGAGAATGACCGTCAATCGCTTATCAGTCTTCGCATAGTTTTCTATTAGCAATGTGATTAAATTATTAGCATTTCGGCTTTACTTTAACACTTGTACATAAAAAGAATTGATTCATTTCCCATCTCAATTTCATCATTCTGAATTATCGATACTCATTGTTAGTTTAACTACAAAGTAGTTTATTCCGTGACGGATGAATGCATTGATGAGAAAATGCATGAATTTGTCATAAATAATGACGCTAATGGAACAGAATACTTCGGGAGAGTGTGATATTCAGTCTGATGATAAATAATGCTGATGATAAAAGAGGCGCATAAACTCGTAATGATAGTGAACTGCTGATTGAATGAATAAAACAAATAAAAATGATTAAGGAACGAACTTTGTCCAGACATTTGAGCTCTTCGAGTGGATATACGGTTTTACCGCATTCACTTCTTGCACATATCTTGCTCATTGTTTCGACGATGATCTGATGATTTGCTTTGGTGATTCGATGCGATGTATCCGCTTCGATTGCTTATTCACTCGAACAATCAATAATCAGTGAGCATCAACCACGAAGTATCTATCAATCCACCGAATGAATATATACCCAACCTCCGCCCACAGCGATTCCAATCGAACAATCTCACGACCTCTTTTCTGCAACCGAACAACGAATATAATACACTCTGCATTTATTCATCCACATCAAAAAAAGATTGAGGCGGATCATTTCATATGGATTCGAAGAAACACCCAATAAACAACATCGTAAGGATATATCAAGAAAACAGTAATGATCTCGACTTGCGCCACGGATTTTCTGCATTTCATGGGGAATCCATCCGAATGCGGCAATGGCAAAATTCAACCAAAAGTTACAATAACGTACAAATCTAGAGTGCGGTACAGTTCATACGCAGTAAAGCAATAAAGTGACACGAAAGCGTTCGATAAACATACTTTCGAAATAGAATGCAAAAAGGTATGAACATACTCCAGACACGCATTACTAACAGATGACAACAAATAATCTTCATTCTATTGCGATACTTGAAACATTCTTCCTTATAAATGATCCTCTCTGTTCAGGACATAAATGAAAATTTCTTGTTTTGAACGCAAGAGATTTTTTCGTTTTCAAAAAAAGGCAATTTTTCACTAATTAACAAAACAGGTCATCGAGCTGTTGAATGATTATGGCATTGATTGGTGTTGAATCTGAGAAGATATATGCGCATAACGTTGAGAAGCATTCAACTGCAAAATGCTTTCCTTAACCATTCGCTTCATTGCTTCTCAAAAACAACAAATTCAATACTGCTCCTTGGTAACATTGATCAATTTGATACTATACGAATAGATAAGAAAGAGTGTTTTCGCAAGGATTTGCTCTCAGTTTCACGAAGTGCAGCTTATTGGAGCTGCCTCCCCGCCGCCTCAAAATAATTCCCTGCTGAATGTAAAATATGAGTTTTGCTCGAATCCAAGTGTTCTCTAGCAATTCATATGTGATATTTTCATCAATTATACGTCGTTAGTTCAGCTGAATACATAAACCTCATGAGAAGCTCATCAGCTCAACTGCAACAAACATAAATTTTTGCTTCTAAAAGAGATAAAGACTAAAAAATAATGAGAAATTGCAGTCATAAACCAGCAGATGATCAAGTGAGTTCGTCCAAAAGCACAGAATTTTCCTCACGTTCAGCAAGTATACCTTCTTCTTCCTCTTACCAGTTTGTAATTTTCATAAGCAATTGCAACTAAAAGTTAATCAACAATCATCTACTAACATGCGATAATTCGCGTTTTGCATTTCGAAGAAATGTGAATACGATGATTTCGTTGGTTAATATTCTAAAATGTGAAGTTTACAATTACAAACGAAATCTTCCACAATATCCATTAAATCAAATGTACGAATATCGCAATTATATTTTCTTATTGTTAAATGTGCAATAGTAATGGTTGACGAAATCCATTCGGAAATACATTTAAGTGACCGAAACGATCGCCTTTCTAGCAAAAAACTTGCAATCGTTGATTCAAAATGCATGATACTCCATTTGTGACACCACAATCTCAAATTCTCCGCAAATGACACTTTTCACCATAAATAATAAACTACTCATATCGGCACTCAATTTCAATACGTTTGACATCTTACTGCAAAGAACTGCTCCAAAAAATATCTCATTATCAAAGCAAAGTAATCAACTCAAAACAGTAACTCGTCAATCAAGCACACAAATCACTTTCCGTATCGATTGAGAACATGACAAATACAGCGAATGATCATGAAATACGTGATCGCAAACACAATTCAACGAAAACAAACAATAAAATGAGCTCAACAACAGGTTTTCAAAAAATTTCCACAGAACGTCACTTACAATCGCGCTTGAGTAAAATGGAACCAGTCACCAATCCAAATAACAAATGCAAGCTTCGTAACAGTATTGCGCTCAACATGTGTGCATTTCACGCATCAAAAACTTCGGAAATAACAATAATAAAACCAGTAATGATGCCATTCACAGTGATAATATCAGTAATAACAATATCAAAATACAATATTATCATATCAACAATTCAGTGATACTGTCTTTTGCTATGATCAAGTTTTATAATCGACCCGAATTCCTCTTCCCATCCAAAAATAATTGAAGGGAGCAAAATCCATCCACAATGAGGATCTCTGTACCTAGCAGAAGACTACAAACTGACGACAGTGGCTGGTAATATCGAATGTTCGGATGGAACTACATTTGTGGAATTTCATTTGAAATGCTTTGCTAAATTTGTGACTAAACATTCTAATCGAATGAAGCAATACGGAATAAAATGGGTCAATGAAGGCAACGAAAAAGCTTTTCAATTAAACAAAAATTGTTGGAAACAAAATAAATTTATGTGCAAATTTGTATTGCTGAAACATTTGTTGAAGAAAATGGAACAAAATGAAGCAAAATACTGACAGAACGAAACATAAATGAAATGAATATCAGTGCAACAATCGAGCTAGAAACGAGAATTGTGCACTGAGTGGCGAAGTGATCAGAAGAAATCCAGCGACCGATTTTAAAGTGAACAAACAGTTCATAAACGACAGCTGTTTCATCTGGATAGGTGCACATAATTCGTGTTATACGCGTTATGCTTTACTTCAAAAGTTATAATAAGCTGTTGGCTTGGTGTATAGGTGAATAAATAAATGAACGAGACGAAACGAAAGAAAATGCGAAAATTTTTCGTTGTAAACAACGATGACTAACAGTTTCATTTGTGAATGCAGTGAACATAAGAAATGATGATGATGACGACGAAATGAATCTGAATCGCCATGATGGAAGAAAATAAAAACAAAGATCAGAAGCATTTGTTAACATTAAGACGTCTGGCACCAATTGATTTTTCTGAATAAAATTAGATTAAATCATATCAAATTATTGCCGACATTGAAACTCTTCAAAAAAATCTTTAAAAAAAAACATATTAGGTCATATGGGCCACTGTTCTGAAATTTCTTACCATAAAACAACTCAAGTTAAGCTAATTCATTACCTGGATCAGACTAGGTAACTTCAAACTAGGTGACAATGATTCAGTTTTCTACTTTGAATGAAAATTTCGGCATAAGCAAGATGAGTTTCATGCAGATTTCAACTTGTAGTTATCATCTCATCCGAAGAATCGTTGAGGTTGAA